TTTTAAATAGTTAAGTTAATATTAATATCGATATTTTTTTAAATTTATATTTTTATTTAAATATAAAAATATTATTTTTTTTAAAATTAAATAAAATTTTATTATAACATGTAATAAATAAAAAAATAAATTAAAATATTAAAATCAAAATGTATCCGACTGCATTGTTACGATTACATTCTAATAAAAAATAAAGAAAGCGACTGGATTTCATGAAACGATTTACCCGAAAATATTAGCTCATCTTAGTTGACGCGTAATGAAAAGCCGAACTGTAAACCGACAACACGGGGTCCGGTTCCTACTAACATGCGCATGGTGCGCATTTACCTGTCATCTTCACGAGAACTCGCAGAAATTTACCGTACGAGTTTATACGTTTCTTAATGACGGTGTGCGAGAGAGAGAATCTAGAGAGAGAGAGTGTGTAATAAAGTAACATAAAACCTCTTTGGTTTTTTTAGCACAAACTTACTGCTAAAAACACAGATCTAGATCCAAATAACTACTCTCAACTCAAGATCTTCAAGCTAGCTCCAACTTCATTTCAGGTCAGTCTCTCTCTCTCTCTCTCTCGTCTTCACTCGCACACACAGTTCTTGTTTGTTTTCTCGCATTATCATGAATTGTTTAACCAATTGCTGATTCTTTGCTTGTTCAATTTGAGAACGTCATTACTGTTATGAATTATGGAGTATCACACACTCAGAATGTTGCATCTGACGTTATCTATTCTAGTGGATTTTTGTTATTTTGTGTTTATTGGTAATGTAAATTGGCTGATTGCTTGTTTTCCTGGGGATAAAAACGACGTGAAGAAAAACGCGTTAGGTTTTGAATCGTAATAGGTGATTAAGTCGCTGAATCGATTAAGTTTTGGACAATTTGATCTTAAAAGAGGAATTTGAGTCAGGCTTAATTCTATGAATGAATATATCGTGTCAAAATTTTCGGCAGCACTAAATTTTCTGTTTCGGAGACGATTCCGTAGATGTAAAATTGTGTTCATCAGGTACAGAACGATTCAAGTTAACTGATTGCCATGGGAAACTAGAGTTCCAATATCAGTTATTATCGAATTCAAATCATGAACCCAATTTGAAACTGATATCGAGTTCATTGCACTTTGAATAACAATTAATATGGTTAGCAGTGTTTCCTTATCAGATAGTTTGTCAGAACTACTTCACGGGCCTTAGATCGAATATGATTATAACAATTTGAATTCTAGGATTATGCAAATTGAGTTGACTGTCAAACTGTGCTTATTCGTTCTAAAATACGGATAGCATGTACTGAAGAAGTTTGTTGGTAATCGAGTTAAAACAACCATCAGAAATATATTCATTGAGACAACTTTTGTTATTTATGGTTTCCTGTAACTAAAATTTGGTCCTGCAGGTGAACCACAACATACAACGATGTCAAGGAGGCCAGCAAGTTTATCTCGGCGTTTGGGAGATGGAGCTGGCATTCCATTTATGGGATCCTTGAATCCAAAATCTCGTCCATCACCTTTTCTATCCATTGGGCTTGTACTAGTGGTAAACCTCGTAAAGCTTTTGCATCTGCATATACCGTCACTAATGCATGTCATGTAATCTACCTCTGCATATGCAAGATTGCTAATTCTATAATCCCCATCCATTTCATTAGAATATCTTTTAGTCATGATTCATACATTTGACAACTGAGCATATTTGCTTTTATTTTACACTCTTCTGCTTCGGTTAATACAAATACTGAGTGGGAATTTCGTTTCAATGGAAATTTCAGGGAGCTTTTCTGATAATTGGTTACGTTTATAGTGGTTCAGGTTAGTATATGTCTGGCAATGTGAATACTCGCAATCATAGATGATTTGATTTACAAAGAAACCATGGATTTTGTCTTAGCTAAACATCAGTCTTGTGGATGCTATTTTCTCCACAAAGCAACTGAGATTGAAGTTATTTTTGTGACAGGTGGAAGCAATGCTGATAAAGTGGCTTTAAGTAGGCTTGAAGGTAAACCGTTAAAGATATGCACTAAACTACTTGATCTGTCTCAACATTGAAAAATTTCCAGCATATGACATATCCATTGTTTATGAGCAAACATAATTTTGTTTTGGTTTTATATGCTATCTGCTTATGTTGAATCATTCATTATGAAGATGTTATTGCTATTCAGTCGTCAATATTATTATATATGTGCAAGAAAGATGAAGTTGAGATATACTCTATAAAATATGGATGATTGGATCTGTGTACATATGATTACCGACACCATGTTTTTTCTGTTTGCCTCTCCCTTTCCTACAACTTGCTGTCTCCCATTCTCTAATGATCAAGTCCTTTAATTCATCCACGTGGAACTTAAATTTTGCAAAGTTTGCTTCATTGCTTTAAGTTTGATGTCTGATAGATACCCTTTCTTCCTCGAATACGAAGGTCATGCTCATTCCCAAGACAAACATGTGCACTCTTTCTTTTCTCATTTTTTCACGATTCTCAGATAAAAGAAAGAGACTGTCAATGTCAAGTTCAACTATTAGAAGGGCTTATTTCATGCCATTTGTTATTGGAATAACACTTGAGAGCTTGATCTCTATTAGCAAATATCTGCTTAAGTTTGACTTGCAAATAAGCATTTGCCAAAGAGTGATTGGCATGATGCGTCTACCTGAGAATCTGATAATATACATTTGGATGAGCCCATTCATCCAGGCATGCTTTTAAGTTTTGCAAATTTAAGTTTGTTAACTATATCAACTATAATCTACTTTTTAAAATATGGGAGCAGCTTATAAAATCATTCGCTTAACCAGAAAACCTGATTACTTTTATAAAAAATTTCATCTGTATATGCAGCTGGTGTATCATGTTCATCAGAAATTTATCAAGCATTACCATATCTGAAGAAAGCATACAGAGATAGCATGCATAAAGTTCTGCATGTAGGGCCGGACTCTTGTGCAGTGGTCTCCAAATTATTAAAAGAAGAAGATACTGAAGCTTGGGGTCTGGAACCATATGATTTAGATGACAGTGATGCCAACTGCAAGAGCCTTGTACGGAAAGGCATTGTTCGTGTTGCTGATATCAAGTTTCCCCTCCCTTACAGGTCAAAATCATTTTCTCTTGTCATAGTGTCGGATGCTCTTGACTACTTATCCCCAAGGTACCTCAACAAGACTCTTCCAGAATTCTCAAGAGTATCTGCAGATGGATTTGTTATTCTTTCTGGTACATTTCCAGCAATCACATTATTATATTTAAGCACTTATTCATGTATATTACATTAGCAATTGGAATATTAGGGGCCGTTTACCAACACAACTTGGGTAAGTGCTAACCGGGGTAAGACTCTGGTCTGGGTAAAGGGTTTGGTAAGTACTAACTGAAAATGGTTGTTTACCAGGTGTTTTGTAGTAAGTGCTTACTGATAAAATGCTTCGTCATCTTGTGCTAACCCAGTTGAAATAGTAATGCTGTCTGGGTAGGTGCTCAGTCAACATCCTTAGCAGTCTTTAGGTAAACTAGCTGATGTTGACCGAATCGGCACGGGTCAAGGCAAACAGGCCCTTAGTAGACAATTAAAAAGTTTATTTGAGAAGAATCTACAAAGTTTCTAATGTTAAATTTCCTGGTTACAGGTTATCCTGGTCAGCGTAGAGTTAAAGTGGCCGAGATGTCCAAGTTTGGCCGCCCTGTAAGTCCTCTCTCGGAAGGAGTTTTCTTTCAACTGGTTCCATTTTAATCAACATTTTTCTGATCTTCTTGGTGTCTAGATGATTTCCTGCTCTTCGTCTTTGGAACAAACATTTTTCTGAAAACCAAAACTTCTAGAGATAACCACTTGAGTTGTGGGGCACTGGTTAAGGCTCTCAGGGGGATGTAGTCGAAATCTCATCTTCCCTGGGTTCGAATCTGGGCGCTGCCAAAGCCCATGTGGCCGTGGAGTTTCACCTGCGATGACTCCAAGACATTAGTGGTCGCGCAGGGGATTGGTCGGTGTGCATAAGCTAGCCCAATGCCCACCCTTACCCAAAAAAACTACTAGAGATGATTTTATATTTTCATTGATCAAGTGAACATTACTAAATAAATAAACGCACTCCTTTCATTTTGTGTTAGGCTAAACTGCGAAGCTCTTCGTGGTGGATTCGGTTTTTCGTTCAGACAAAATTAGAAGAGAATGAAGCTGCTACTAAGAAGTTCGAACTGGCTGCAGCCAAGAAGGCATACCAATCAAGCTGTCAGATTTTCCATCTCAAATCACTCCATTGATGAAGGTGAAATATAAAGTTAAAAGAACATACACAAAAGTTGGAAATTTTTGTTGGGGGAATTGTCTTAAGTTTCAAATGGGGTCCAGCATACCGAAGATGTATATTTGTTATTTCATGCTTTTCATATTGTTGGAACAAATGATGATATAATCTTTAGACCATTTTGGTTTGAAAGTATTGTTTTTAATCAATTGTAAAAGAACTGTAGCTCTCTAAATTACTATGTTGATTGGATTCTGGTGCCCCCTCCTTTTCTGCACTCTTTCTGGTCCATATTTTCATTAATGAGTGCTTCTCATTAACCGTGTTAGGGTCTTACGTCGGTTGAATTTGGACTATTTCTCCTCGGTATGTGTTGGAACCTTTCTTCTCAGCTCAACAACTTTTTTCGAGAGTAATCTAAAAAGATTTTACATATTTGGTGAAAAAAAGGCGACATTTGCAAAATGATTGGGGACAATTATCAAACAAGGCTTTTGAGTCATGACAAAATAAAGTATTGATACGACGCAAGCATCAATAGGACAAGAATCATCGAGTTTAAAGGGTTGTTTGGTTGATTTTCTATTAAGTGTTATCTAGATGAAGCCACTGGCAGATTCAGAAACTATTACAGTTGGGGGCACGTTTAGGATGTCAAAGTTTTTTGAAACCGAACAATTCGTCTGTACCAAAAAAGGTTTCGGGTTTCATTTTTGGCTTAAATGGTTCGGTTAACTAAATAAATATAACTTATTCTGTTCGATTTCAATTAATTTTTTTAATTATTTTGGTTAAACCGACACATTATAAATAAATACATTACTCGTTAAATCGTTAAAACATTAAGTTTTAATTGAGTTCTAAAGAGAAGTAGGTAGGAGTCGAGTTTTCTTATTTAGTACCTTTTGAGTATGAGAGACTATGAAATTGCACCAATTAAAATAATGATTTTATCATAGTTGGGCCATTTCATTTTGGTGTTGGGATCCCAATAGCAAACATTAGGTAAAAAAACATCTTTTTAATCAATTGTGAAGCATCCTAATGTGCATCTGTACCCGGATAAAATTGTTTGTTCGTATGTATAGATTGAAAAAGTTTTTATATGGTGAGGTTTTTAACAAGACTAAACAAGTTATTTACATTGTATTTGGAAGTTGGACATGACAAAATTGTTAAAATAAACAAACAAAAAAATTAATGACAAACTCCAAAAGTTTTTATTAATAATCAAAGTTCCGGTGTTCATAGCATCCACAATGCACAAGTCATGTAATGACTTTTTACATTTGCCACCTCATATTTCCACTAACTCTATCCGACAAAAACTCGTCTTTTAAAATCATCTCCAATGCAACCAACTTTTCCAAAAAAAATTATGTTTAATAATTAATGAATATGAAATAAAAGTACAAACAAAAAATTCTAGAAAATAATATAAATGCAGTTTTGAGTTATGAAACGAGCTCAAGTGGTCGAAAAATTATTAACCAAGTTATGTCCGACAACCATCAATCTTCTCTTCTATCTCTACAACCATTCCTACTACACTAATCTCTCTCAACTTTGAAGAAGTCGATCCCATGGATCACCTCATCTTCTCGGTACTCATGTATACTAGCAACCTTGAACAAACCATATCTCCGAAACTCCAATTTGTTGCAAGTGCCAATTGGAATCGATTCTTGCACAGGAACACCGTCAAGAATCATATTGGGCATGAATTTAACTACCAAGCAACTCTTTTAATGACAATAAGTGGATTTGAATTAATGACTTCTCGAAAGCAAGACCTAATTATCCTCAATACACAAAAAACAAGAAATAACAGAAAAATGATACAAGTTGTTTTTTTAAATAAAGAAGGATTGAATTAAATAAAACTCTTTAGGGGTTGTTTGACAGTTATTGTACAATTTGATGCATAATGATTAAGTGGTCAGAATGATTAAGAGACTCTCATGATATAATGCAAAATAAAATATAATTATTTGGTAATTATTTACAACGAAATTAGGGTGCAAAATGGTTAAGAGATGCACATGATACAAAATCATTTAGAGAGTTTTAGAATTATTAAGAGATAATTTTATTTTTGCTAAATACGGTATATCTTCTAACGATTCAGAGACTGTCTGTTAGTGAAACCAGGTAAAATAAATAAAATCTGTAAAGTTAGAAATATTTTTGTTGTTGGTTTTTAGTTTATTTTTTATTTTTTGGGAGAACGAAGGAACTTCGAAGGAGCGATTCAGAACTGTTTGATACAGAAGCAGTGAGAAGAACAGAGAGCACTGCGGCAGTGGTCAGCGCGGGGAACACCGCCGGCACCACCACAAATGGCTACAAATCACCATTTCAAAAGACCTTACCAGCCGCTCTCTTCTTCCTCCACCAGCTACTTCTATATCTTCGTCTCTATCATCGGCCTCACTGTTCTTTTGCTCGTCTTCTCTCACTACATCACCTCTTACTCTACGTCGCCGATACGCCTTGAATTGATTAAACCGATCAAGCAATACGTGCCCGTAAACAACGACAACAATGGAGCAGAATCAGCAGCCTGTGATTACTCAGAGGGCAAGTGGTTCTACGATCCGACGGCCAGACCTCCACGATACGACGAGACGTGTAAGGAGATATATAAAGGCTGGAATTGCATAGCTGGTAATAGATCTGGTGCGGCGGAGATTGTTAAGTGGCGTTGGCAGCCTAATCACTGTGCACTTACACCGTTTGATCCACTTCGGTTTCTCGAATCCCATAGGGACATCAGTATCGGTAAGAAGGATAGTTATCCCGTGTAACGTAACATCAATATCACTACTCGAAAACCTCTGTATTTGTACATTGTTCAATGGTTATGCATTAATGCCAAGAAAAGCACCTCATCATGACCTCTAGAGTGTTCTCCGGAAATATTTCCTACCTTCCCTGTTCAGGAAAAGAGATACCATTTGGCTGGATGCCTGGTGGATCAATTTTAAACTTTCCAACGACATGAATGCGTTAGTTGTATAGAAAGCTTGATAATCACCATAAATTCAGATACGCTGGGTTTTTCAAGTGTTTGTAACTTGTCTAGAGGTTCAAAATTTGAATCCCACATATGTTCACTGTGAGGCGTGCGTGTTTACCAATAGCCAAACTCTAATTCATGTTAAAGGTTCCTCTTAGATTAATAGGTAAAAGTAAAACTAGGTGACACTGCTGCTAGTAATCAGTGAACATATCAGTATTTCAAAGTCACTTCTACTACCTTTTAAACAAGTTAATGCCGAAATTTAGTAGGGCTAGGGGTATGAGGAGACGAGAGTCAATTAGAAACTAATAAGACAACGTTATTGTAGGCTCTTTTATCTCTATGACTGAGGGTACTATATCAATTGGTCAATATGGTTTGTTTGTAGAGAATCTCTTTTGCTGTAGAATGAAATCATGGCAGGCTAGGACAGAAATATGGTTAGGCCAATGAGTGGAGCATTCCCACAGGGTATGGGTTTGAGGATCAACAGAGACTCAACAATGAGCATCCATGTGTTGGGGTGCTTAGATGGGTACGTCTGACTGTAATTGTGCTGAGATAAAGACATACACTGGTACCAGAAGGTAATGGCTTTCAGTGTATCCATTTCCTGATTTGATATATCTTCCCTATATGGGGTCTGAATGTTCTTGCTATTGTACCGTAGAACATTTGTTTCTTAGAGGTAATAGTTTCATATTTTCATCCAGGCTCGTGGCGTTTTATGATTGTCATATGCCAAAGGTTTGACTTTGTTAGGCTTTTATATGGATCTGATATAAGCAAAAATAATCCTTTGAATTCTGCTTGCTTGGCATATATGTCACAAGATTGAGATTTGTAATTGTAATGAGCTTTATATAGTGCTTACTAGAAATTCTTGCAATCTAGGGACCTAGGCTAAGAGGTAAGGTTGCTTATGAGCGGGTTCTCTTAGAGGGCATTCAGATTTTTGACTTTATTGGTTATACATGTAAATATGGTTCATGATGCTTGGCATATGTCCTCTAATGTACAAGTGGCTTCATGTACTTCTCACTTTTGTTATCAATATTGTAGTATTTTAACGCCTTTTAAGATGTTATTTGTAAACCTTATGAACTTTTAACAGTGCAGGGTTTGTTGGTGACTCCTTAAATAGGAACATGTTTGTTTCTCTCTTCTGTTCTCTGAGACGTGTTGCTGGGGAGATAAAGAAGTGGCGTCCTGCTGGAGCCGATCGTGGATTTACGTTTTTGAAGTATAACTTCACGATAGCATATCACCGAACAAATCTGTTAGCACGTTATGGTAGGTAAGCTGTTTTTAGTGTGACATCTTGCGTGTGCCATGTTTCAGTTACAAAACTTGTTTCTTTGAATTCTTCTATAATCACAATCTTTGGTATTAACTTCTCTCACAAGTCTAGACTTTCTAATTCATCTTTAAACTGCAGTAATGACCTTTTGCCCCTGCAGACTTTTGGTTCTCCCATTAGATATACTAGTGGCATTTTTAGTTGGCATTTATAGAGCATGGGCTTGCATGCCTATCTGATTTCCCTATTGTCTTGTATTTTACTTGGCTGCGGCATCCGCTATATCCAACCTGAAGCTGTAACATATTGAAGAACAGCTTCTTTAGGAGGTACAGAATGTGTCTAGTGAAAGAAGTTGAAATTCTGATTCGCTATCATGTATTGTAAATTTTGAAGGAATATTTGAGCTTATTCCATCATGGCCTTTAATGACGATTAGAAGTTTATATCATGGAGAGTTGTGGTGGTTGTGGAATAGCTCAGTCTTGTCTTTTGGCTGATTTAGACATTTATCATCGAGTGCATGACATTCTTTCAAGGAAGAATTTATCATCTAGTGCATGACATTCTCAAGTCCTTTTAGTGACAACGAGAACTTTATATTAGGGCATACGTAATCTTAACAGTATTATAATAAATTTATGATGGTCTTATGGTTCATATTTTTTTGATCGGGTTAGGCAGCCAGATTTTTATGAGAGCACGTACTTTACAAGAAAGGGTAATGTGCTCTTTAAGTTATAAACTATTATTTCTTTTCTGTGCTTATAATATCCTAGTCTTCTTCTCAATGGAGAAGTGCCTCCATCAATCAATGGAAACTCTGCGTCGCATTCGGAGGAAGTTTGAGAGTGACTGGTTCTCAAAATGCATACATCGTCAACTTTTAAACTTATTGGCATGATAAAGTGCAGTGAAGTTGGCATGCGTAACATAGTTTGAACACTTTCTTGTTGAACCGGGACATAATAAATATATCTGACTTATGAGTATTTTAGCAACGATATATGATCCGAGGCATGCAATATGTTATTGTGGCATTGGTACATGATTTTGGCTCACACAGTATACATGTTATTTTACTTGATTTGGCAACTGAAAAAGTCCTCCTAAATTCTTCTTTGCCTCTATGGAAACAGTGTTTGCTACTACCTTATAAATTGCTCTTGCTTCATATAATTATGATACAGGTGGTCAGCCAATGCTAAGGGTGGTGTGCTGGAATCTCTTGGGTACAAAGAGGGTTATCGAGTTGATGTGGATGTACCTGAAGGAACATGGGCAGAGGCTCCAAGTTTTCATAATATTCTCATCTATAACACTGGGCACTGGTAATATGACATTCCTCATAGAAATTATGATATACTCGATGCATTGCTTTTACATTTATGATGGAAGACGGTGCCTTTCGGATTTGAAATAAAGCCAAGGGACTCTGCAATATCAGTCTTTAGAGCCAGCTAATAAGGGTTAATATGTTTGGACAACAGTGGCTCGTCGTCATTTCTGTTCCTTTACTAACCTTTATTTTAGTAGCGTTGATTTGTTGAGCTCTCTTGTTGTTAGACCGGTTATGGTCCTTATGGATAGTCTACTAAAGTAAATTCAGGCTTTTGAGTTATAATTACCAATCTGTATTTTCTTTATTATTGAAAGGCGTGAAATCTGAGATTATACATACTCCAATAGTAACCTCTCGATGCCCTTGATTGCCCCCATCTGTAAACTATGCCCTCTACACACAAACAGAGATTTCTTTTTCCTTTTACCAAATGCTATGATATGTTTTTTGGTATGGGCTATGTGATTCCAAAAGTTATTTTTCTGGTACAAATATTTTGAGTCCTGATTTGTGCATGTTCCTCAGGTGGTGGGCCCCTTCCAAGTTCGATCCTGTAAAATCACCTATGCTTTTCCATGAAAAGGGTCAGCCTCTGGTACCCCCTTTATCCCCTGAAACCGGCCTTGATGTAGTCTTAAGGCGCATGGTAAGTATTTTTGCTTCTTTCCTGAAGTTTGTAGAATGCATAAAGTTTTACTGCACTTGTGGAAGTTTAAGATAAGCTTCGTGTTGGCTAGTTTGGGCATGCAATATTATATTATAAATGAGCTAACAGCAATCCCCCTTCATTATAATGGCAATATATGGCGAAGGGTCCTGTACTGGTAGCTAGGTTATTATAAGATGAAAAAACATTTGTGAATGAACATAATAAAAAGAAATAGCTTATAAGTAGTGAGCTAGCAGGAGATGTTAAGGAAATGGTTCTGGATTCATGTTATGACCAAGTAATTGGGAGATTACGAGCAAATATAATCTTTCAGGATTTTAACATTTTTGTGACGGGCAGCGTCTCAAGCATCTAACTTACAATTGTTTTCAGCAAAACAAATTAAAACATTATAGTAAAGAAGGGCGTTAGTAATTCAGGAAAGGAAGCGTGTAGACTTGAGTGACCACAGTTATATGTATTTCTGATTGAGATGAAAGTTCATTATGCAAATATACTCAATCTTGAACCCTTTTATTTTTTGCACATAGATATCATATGTGGAAGAAAAGGCAAGACCAGGAACAGTTCTATTTTTTCGCACTCAATCTCCTCGCCATTTTGAAGGTGGCGACTGGGACCAAGGTGGTTCCTGTGCCCATTTGCAGCCATTATCACTAGAAGAGGTAAATTCTCATTACCAGTTACAGATGTCACTGCATATTTCCACTTCACATCATATGCATATTTTAAGAATCAAACCAACGAGTTCACTTCATCTCCCAAACATGCAACTGAAAAGTTCAAAATTTGTTGTCTTGTAATACATTCAGGTTGAACAGTTCTTTTCTGTGGAGAACAATGGAACGAATGTGGAAGTGCGGCTTGTGAACGAGCACTTATATGAAGCCATCAAGGGTTCTGCTTTCCGCTTACTGGATGTGACACGTATGAGTGAGTTTAGAGCAGATGCTCATCCTTCTGCAGCTGGTGGAAAGAAACACGTTGATTGCATGCACTGGTGCTTACCGGGGATTACTGATACTTGGAATGACTTGTTCATTGCACACCTAAGTAGCATCAAGGTACGTTACTGATTATCCCTTTCTAGTTAATGACCATGTAGAAATTGATTTTTTTTTTAAGTATCCTTTGTACGTGGTGTATGTGACATATAGATTGTACATTTTATATTATTTTAGTGGGATAAGTTAGGATCCCTTCATTTTCCTATTATGAGACCGTATATTTATCTTTGTCCTTTTTGCCATTTGAACATTACAGTGATCAAACTATGTGGTAATAAAAGGGAAATCTACTAATATAATATTGCAAAAAAATATTATCATGAACTATAAGTTTTAGTAAACTTGATGTTAAAACCATAAAAAAATATAAGTTTTAGGATTAGATGAATAAAAAGAAAATATGAGATTTGAATTTAAATATCAAAACTAGATTCTAACCTGCAACTGCATGACAGAAAGCGATATCACCATCTACATGTGATCATAAAGAATGAGATGAGAATATATGTGTTGCTGTATCAAGACTACTTTACAACTTTATGGTTCAAAAGGAAATGAAAGTGTGTATGTGCGTCGTATTTACTTGATGCCAGAAGAAACGAATATTAAAGCCATAAAATAGAGAACAAGAAGTCATATAGGTGTTACCTTTTGCTCCAGTCTCCCTTAATCCTGGAAAGTTTGTCTGGGCCTTCTAAGAGCCATAGTTAGTAAATAATATGTAAAATGGTAGACAAGAATGAGATCTAAATTATAAAGTGCAAGACAACTATTTCATGCATGAATCCAAAGTTGCTGATAACTTGGGGCAAAATGCATAAAAAAGCAACAAATTCGGTTGGTTTTTATTTAATGTAATGAATTTTTTTCCCTATAGATGGAACAAAGTTTCAATAATATCTGTTTTGTATCCATTTTGACTGGCAACTTGATCTTGTAACATTTTATGACGTGAATACTCATATGAAAGGCTTACAAAAGGGTTGCAACGAAGTGGATGATAAACTAGAGATCCACGTCATCAAATGTTACAAAATCAGTTGGTTATGGTCAAAATGTGTACAAATAGAAATTATTGAAACTTTGTTGCATTAAATTAGGAAATTTTGAAACTTTCTTACATCGATCGTGAAAAACTCTTTGTTACACTGAATAGAAATTAAGGCAAACTTTGCTGCATTTTGCCCAATAACTTATGCAGTAGGAATTAGGAATACCAACCAGAGCTCATATATTATCATAAATATTCTATCCCAATGACAACAATACCACATGGAACATAAGCTAAAAAAGATACTTTGATGCATATCAAAGAATCAATACTTTGAAAGATAACATTCTTTTGGGAGATTGTTTTGGAATCTCTTATTATCCTGGCAATAATCATAAATTAGGTGATATCTCCTGACCCATTTGAACCATCTCCTCTGTTTCCACGTTAAAGAACTCAACTCCTCTTTGTTCCACCAGTTGCTTGAGCTATCTGCTCTGCAAAACCTTGCATTTCCCTTCCATACACAGGCGTCAATCGTGTAATTTGTGAATGATGCAAGGAAAGGGCCTTTTGACCAATCGATTTTGTCTTTCCCGCCATTGGTCGCCCAGCTGCTGCCGTCCCATAGGCTCATCTTGAGGCTCATTGGCTGCCATCTAGGATATGCCACTCCCTTGTCTGCATGGTTTCTGTATGTTCTTATTGGAATAGAATCCACCATAAATCTGCCCAGAAAACCGAACTTTTTTAATTAATGTCAAAAAACTACAAAAGATCGGTCTTTTGTGATGTCAAACAGCATCACTAAATAAGGCTGTTGCTTTGCTAATATGCGTTTCTCGGCCTTTGTCACAAAAGTCTGAAGTGGCGTTCTTTAGGGTGCTTTTGGTACGTGGGATAGAACAAGATAAAACAAAAATGTGTTGCCCCTTGTTTGATGCAACACTAGACTGGGATAGGACAAGAATGCATTTTTTTTGTCCCACTAGGGAGATGAGATTAGATTGGTAAATTACTAAACTACCCATGTCAAATTATGATCTTAAAGCCTTGCAAAATTCTTTCACCCGGCTACTCACTCTAGCTCTGTCCCGTCCTGTTCGGTCCTCTTTGCGTACCAAATCCTAATTCCCTTTCCTAGAAGGTCGTTTCAAGAAATTTGTTGCTGAAAATGCTTACACAATTTGGTGAAGATTCCATAAAATCGAATAGGTATGGAAATCCTTTGTGGGATCAAACCACAAGTAAATCCTCTCTTCTCTGTCGTCAAAACCGTCTGCGAAAACGTTTGTTTGAAGAATGTAAGGCTGGTCTGAAATATTTCCCAGGAACTCAAAGTCTATCTCATCTCGATTAGGCTGGTCGGAAGTAAGCTGTGTCGTCAAAACACTTCAAGTAAGCACTTGAGCTATTAAATCATGGACACAAACGGGTCATTTAGGAGAATAACTTTCCGACAAATTGTTTAGAACATGATCTTTTGATAGATTTAAGAACGTCTCTGCTAATACAAAAACGCCTCCAAATCTGTCTGAAGGTCATACATGTAAAGATCTGTCAAATGGTTATTCTCCTAAATAACCGGACACAAACCAACCTCTTTTCGCTTACATAGAATGCCAAGACTGTGCCTGCCGAGTGACCAGGTACTAACTTGATTGGCATGTCGATTTGACCGAACAAAAACATGTCATTAGAAGCAAAACCCGAACCTGAAACAGTTTTATGATTAGCAACATGAATAGGACACACAACATGCAAAACAAGGCTAGGCCTTGGGCCCCTCTCCATAGGTCGCTCGTTCGAGCCTCCTTAGAACCACTAGGGGTTTTCCTAACTGTCATCTTCAGATCCCCATGTGCTAGCCAACCCAAACACTCAAGGTTACGAAAGAAAAGCATTTTGCATACCTGATTCTTGATCGAGCTTCAAGCTTCTTGATCGGCCATCAGCAGATGTGTTGATATGGGTCGGGGACCAAGTCACAAAGAAGTCTTTATTGAAATCACCAGTCGAAACAACCGAACCGAATGAAGCTTGTAATGAATGCAAGAGAAATAACCCAAGAAGGAAAATGGAGTTGTTCATGGCTTCTTATTTGTGTCACAAAAGTTCATGAATGTTGAACATGACAATATATATATTGTTGCATGGCTTGGGAGGGTACCAAAAGTATGTGGAAATATAAGTTTCTATACAAGAATATCTTTACATGGAAGCAAGGGTTAAGATGTCAAATTACTCTGGTAAGTATAATTACTCTTCTTTTATACTAACACTGTATAAAAATTTTCCACATCCATGTAGTGTGTATATGCATACATATATATATATATATATATATATATATAGAGAGAGAGAGAGAGAGAGGGGGGGGGGGGAAGCGATCAAATGCAAAGTTGCAAACCATCCATATAAGATTAAACAATGAAATTGACGGATGATGGTGGTTTGCATTTGATCTCTTCTCGATATATGGTGATGATCGAATGCAAACCACCCATATTTGTATAAATCGTGAAAATCTAATTAAATCAATTATAATTTTTTTAATAATCTGGGTTGATTAACCATTTTTATTGTGAATGACATTAATTATGGATATTATAATCTTCATTCTATTAATTTTAGTAAACAAATTCATAAAAAATGAGAAATACATGAATTTTTTTAATTTTTACATAGAAACAAAAAATATAAGAAATAGTTTCATTAAAAAATGCATTATTTGAAACAATTTCCCCACATTAAACAATTTAATGAGAAAGTTTCACTAAATTAAACAAAGAAATCGACGATTTTCATGGTATGTAGCTTTTGCATTTATCCTTCCCATATATCTACACACATATATACATATATATGTATATATGTGTATGTGTGTGTATATATATATATATGTACACACACACACATATATATATATATATATATATATATTAGTTATTTATAAAACTTTCGTCTTTGTACTTTTAAAATTATGATTTTGATCCTTATAGTTTATTATTAATTGTTGTTTTTGTTCTTCCAATTTATAATTTATTGTTATTTTAGTTTTTATGGTTTACAATTCATTGTTGTTTTTGTTCCTAATACCTCAAAAATAGAAGTTCGTCTTAGGTATGAAAATGACAATGAATTACAAACCACAGGACAAAAACCATAATTTTAAAAATACAAGAACAAAAATTGTAATTTTTAAGAAATGAAAACCATAATCTATCGTAAAATTTATAACTAGTATGTTATGCAATAGAAGGTGTGCATTAATATTATTGTAGAAGGGGTGTTTGAAATTGCTTATTTGAAACAACTTATTCTTTTCTACAAAGTCCTTATCAACTTATTATAAGTTAAAATGGTTTAACTTCTTCAAAAAGCCCTTATTACCGGTTTGACATCGGTATAAAATGTTTATCCAAACATCTAAAAATGTTTATTACCGGTGTCATATCGAAATAAGTCAATAATTTATTTTTATAAGTAATCCTAAACACCCCGAATAGAAGAATTGTGGGGAAGGGATAATATCAAGTTCCTCTCTTGATAGGCTTTGTGAAGATGACTTTACCCCAAGTGTTGGGCATCCTTCCTTCTTTTCATCAATTAACATTATTCTTTTCCTCTTATGTTATATTTTGAAAATTTGTTACCAAAATAACAAAAAAAAAAAAAAAACATGTATCTCATGTTTAAATAGCGTCTGAGAGATTAAAAGACATCTGAACGTTTAAAACATGTCATTCTAATAACGATCTAACTAAACCTCAAAACACGTAATATGGATTGTTCTATAATATTTTTATGTTTTAAAGGACTCTTAAATTACTGAGTATTAATATATAATGTATTTATTTTGCAAAATCTACTTCAAATAAAAAAAGGGAAACATATTATAATTTTGAAAAAAAAATAAAAAAAAATATTTTTTAATATATAAATTTTTAATCACAAAAAAGAAAAGCATGCGGTGAATAGTATAATGTGATTGCAAGAAATCAAATAGATATGACTTCAAATTGAAAACAACTTTAAATGCACAAATCATTTAAAGTATCTTTATTAAACGCTTATTTGATAAATGTTTATCGGATGTTACTTGTTTTAGCATGTGATTATGGTAAGGACCAAAAATCTTACAAAGTAAGAGACATAACAAAGACCGATAATTTTATACACAATAAGTGAGGGAGAAGACTTTTATCCCATAAGTGTAAGCACAAAAAAAAAAGATGATTACCAAACAATCCATTTAATGTTATCCAATTAGGTAAGTGATGATAATGATTGTTACCAAATAAGGATAAAATTGTCATTTCATATTATTTTACCATCAAATTTTTAGTTCTAGTCTTTTCTTTCATAAGTCCTTTTCTGTCAAAAAGAATTAAAGTTATAACAAAGGATCTTTAGTCTAACGTTATCTTGATTACTAATAAGATTTATATCTTTTTAAAACGGTGACACCATTTAACTATAAGAAAAAAATATAGGGAATTTTTTTCAAATGATGACACCATTTTTGACTATAAGAAACAAATATACGGATTTTTTTTCAAACGGTGACACCATTTGACTAAGAAAATGACAGTGGCATGATTCGAACATGGGTATGAGGTGGAATAAAAGTCTTGCAAATCAACTCTACCAAATAAAACTTGTTCGCATTGTAGTTTCAAAATACATACGGTGGCACACAACAAATTAATATGGTTGCATCTTTCATGAACCTAGTTTTTTTTTTACCTTTCGATGAAGGAATAAAACGGTGGCATGTGCCACCGTATGCACCACTATAGGTTTGTTCTTGTGTTCCATGAGAAACATAAACTCAAAAACTAATTTTTATGGTGGATCCATCTCGAAAAGTGTCTTGGTGTGGACGTAGCCAAAATTGGATGAACCATATTACATTCTTCTCGAAGTACCATCCCTCTATGTTGCACTTACATTTTGGTTTATAACGAGAAACCACAGGGATATGCCTCGAACATGAAAATCAAAAGACGATCGTCACCATTTTAAGGAATGGATCAATGATGATTCAAATACGCTCTACATTTTTCACGGATTATTAGAAAATAAGGTCTCTCTAAAGATTATTAAGCTATAGCTGACCCAAGTCATTTTGTGTAGACTTGAAAACTTGTCTTTACCTGTCGTCAAAAACAAGATTTAGTACATATGGTACAACTTAAGAAATTGTTAGATTAAGGACCGTTGACGTGGATTAGTGTTAGATAAAATGTGAGTCGAGAATATCAGAGTCGATGAAGCAAGTTTTAAGACCGCCAGTAGAAGGAGCCAAAGCTCACTTCTATAAATATTTTTATAAGAGAAATTAGTAGATATTAATTATAAAAATACAGATGGACCGACCAAATCTATCCAACTTTATTTTTTGCAACAACCATTAATTCTAACCGGTTTCTGAAGGCCTGCTTTTTTTTTTTAGAATGGTTGTCCAAACACACTTTTTTAGCATTCGTTTGTCCTGTCAAATCTTACCCCTATCCAAACGCCTAACTATATGGTATTTATAGGGTTGGGCTATATAGATTTTTTTTTGTAAGGGTGTCCGGGCCAAAGCCCGACTAATCCCCGGCAAATTTGGAGGCTAAACATGGCCCCACTTAAATGTCGCCAACACTCCCCTCCCAGGGCTCGAACTTGGGTTCATGACTATATCATGCCTAAGCTTTTACCACTAGGCTTTAGGGGCTGTTTGGTTCATGCTGGGGAATGAAAATGAAAATAACAGGGAATGAAAATGGGAATGAATTTTCATTCCCCTCTGTTTAATCTAGAATGAAAATTTGGGCTTCTGGGGGAATAAAGCTTTTATATTATATAATACCAAACAATTTCTTTTATTTTCATTCCCATTAATTACTACTTAATACCTCTAACCAAACATCCCTTTATTGTGGGAATCCTTCGGGTAAAAAATTTATATGTTAACACTCTCGTTATATATAAAAAGCGAAAAGTTCATAAAAATCTAACGGATTTTTTCATTTTGAGTAATTAAGTCATGAATTTTTTTTAAACTTTCTCATTTCGATTGATTAAATCCCTGAATATTTTTTTTAATAAAATAAACTTTGCTAGACGGTTTTCTCATTTTCGGAACAGTAAAACCGATTTGGGTTTCTTTACATCAAAATTTTGCTAGACGGTTACAAGTAGTTTGGGTTAAGTTAATGTAGGTAACCGATTTTTAAAAGTTCAGTGGTTTATTTATCCAAAAAATGCTCTGGGACTTATTTATTCAAAATGAGAAAGGTCGTTAGTTTTTTTGAACCCTTCCAATATAAAAGTTCACATTACTCGCAGTTTTTCAAACAGTTAGATGTAGAACTCTGCTCCGGTTATTAGGTGTGTGCAATTTTGGTACCGACCGACTATATTGGATATCTAATTGTAATTGGACCGGATTGAATCCAAATTGAAACGATCGGTCTTGGTTGAAAGTTCAGAATTTAATAAAACCAGACCGATCCAGTACAGTTATCCATCCAACCACCATCTAATTAATAAATATATCTAATAATACTTTACAATATTATTTTTAGTTGATATTTTATATAGTGTTTTTATAAAACTAAGAAAATATATAAATAATTGGTTGAAAATTGGATTCAGATATTAAATGAGTCCAATTTAATCTAACAGATAACCAGTAATGATATTCAAATGGTTGAAAGTTGAAACTGATCTAAAATTGAAATTAGATATTCAATGGTTGGAACTGATCTAACGATGTATTTACAATCAAACCAAATCTTTATTTTATCTTAATGAAAAACTGGTCTAACCCCGGTATTTTCCATACCCATTCCTCTCACATTAATGTGAAATTGAATGGTTCAATATATTTTTTTAATTTTAAAATTATATTTTATATCTTAATTTGTTTTATGACTTTTACTTTTTCATGTTTTGTTTTACACTTTTATCACATTAACATACATAATTGTATATGAACTAAAATACGTTTTAATTTTAACAAATTACACCATTATAATCGTATCGTTAATACCTTCGAAATGAGTCAAATATTGAATATTTTTTTATTTAATTATATTATTATATCATATC